AGGTTTTGTTCATTTTTGACAAAAAGCAGACAGTGTAAAAACCGAGTAGTTCGCCTACCCCTTCGCTCACCAGACCGAGAACCAGCACCAGCCAGCCTGACCAGCCCCTTACTTAAAGTATGTGCTTCCTGGCAGCCATCTTCTCTACAACGCCACAAAAATCGATTGTGAGCTTATCTTCAGTGAAATGATTGTCTCACTTGAACAAATAGCTGTACTTTGATCGGATACCTAGAAATATCTGGAAACGGTCAGTAATTAGCAAGCACATACGGAATACGGTACATCGCCAAGTTGCAATTTTCAGTTGCTGGAACGCCGAGGCAGGTCCAGACAACTTAGCATTCTCTTGATGACGATACATATGCTGGTATTGAGTATGCTTGCCAGGTGCTGCAGCCTGCAGCATCCGGCACTACCGCACGGTACGCCAGGATAAAAGATAAGATCGGTCGCATCCGGCACTACCGAACGGTACGCTAGGATAAAAGATAAGATCGACCGCACGGTACGCTAGGATAAAAGATAAGATTGGTCGATTAGAAGGCTAGGTTCCATTGGAACCTAGCCTTGGAACCGTTGTGATAGTAATCAGCTCGTCACATCTAATACGCATCTGGGGATATTATCCTCCATTTATTCTCACCCCCAAGGGGGTGGGAATTATATGCAAATCCTGGGGTTTTCCTGGTTGGGCCCCATAATATGGGCCATATATGGGAAAACATCAAAAGGTGTATGCGTTGGGAAAATGTTTGTCAATAGGTGTAGTGGTCGTGGGCATCACGTCGCGTCATGTCTCATCATACACGTACTGACACACGTTTTGGTTGCCGCGGTATTTCGGCCGAGGTAGGGTCATACAGACCCAGGATCGAGCTTCCAAGCACAGTAGTTTATTAACGACACGCTCGTAGCGAACACGGTCAACTAATAATAGCATATAGAGCAACTGTACTCGACAACTTCGCTATTGTAGCTACAAGGAACTACCAACGCAAACCGCAAGCGTATATAGCATGGCTATACTAGGTAGGTTTTGCATCTAAATTTCGGAGGTGAAGGAGCTCTAGTGAGAGCCCCCAACCGGGGGAGAGTGGTGGTATTGTAGAACTGTGGCAACGCTGAGGCCTGGCTACAATGGATAACGACGTTCATTGTAGTCCCTTAGCCGTACAATTCGCTATCAAAGTCATGGACACCACGAACCGGGCTAGTTGCATCAGGTAGAAGCATTCCCCCCTAACCCCGGGTTTTATGGATTTGGATCTAAGCCCACACACCAGTCACCGCATTCGTTGCTGATGCAGCTTTATCATGCACCTTAGTGCGCTTGGAACCACATACACATACTGTCATACCGACAACCTAGCATACACCTAATGACACGAGTTAACCGCTTTTGACAAAACGTTTCAAATTCATACACCTTTTGACGTTTTCCCGCCATTTATCCCAGACCCAGACACCGACGGAGAAACCAGGGTCTAAGGATTTGAAGTGGGGGTGAATTCAACCCCAGAGAAACCGAGCGAATGGAAGAATCGAATAGGACAAAGCGTGCAGATTCAAAGCGTTATGGCTTCATGCAACGCAGCGCATCATTTTCCTCTATGCAACTTGCCCCGTTATTCTCTAAGGTGATACAGAGGCAGCCGATAGCCTTCCAGCTTTCTCCACTTTTGGGATTTGTAGGACCATGACCTCCGTCCTCATCCTACTTTATGGAGATCATAATCAAAGCCTCGTGCGGTGTACAGTATTATCGTTAGCCAACTTCAATGTACACGTACAATACCGCACGAATCGTTCGGTTGACAAATCGATCCTGGTGGAAAAATGTAAACAGCTGAAAAATAACAATCTGGTCTCGCACTGATCTGATGGTTTAGCTCCATCTCGAAATTAGAAACTCTAATACCTGAATACGAAAAGCGTAATTCTAGGTCGATCTAAGTAAATCGAGATCGTCCATGCTACCCCCTCTGATTTGTGCCCTGATTTGTGGACCGGCCTACCTTGATCTAGGCCATAAAACGGGGCGACATTTTATCTGCAAAGCACAATATATGTGCTCAGTATATACGGTATTACAGATGGTTGACCTTGAAGTTTACGTGCATTCAAATCAAGAGCTCACTCAGCCGAATGCGTTCTCGTCGTGTTGGCGGGGCTGGTATATCACTCTCCTCCGGGAAAATTTTCCTGTCTTGCGAAAGCAGTTCGCTATCATTTTTGCCTCCATCGCCGTCCATACCCCAACTGTCCACCTCATTACTTGAAGTTGGTCGACGTAGAAGGCAGTCTTGTTCTCGGGTGTCGTCTCCGGCATTTCTGGATCGTTGCGCTTCGTTGCGAGCTCCATGTGCTTGTCGCGGTATCCAGTTTTTAGTGCGGCAATACCGCCCGCATCCATGGGCTGCAAGTAGGAGGTAGTGTTGGGCAGAAGCTTTTGTGCGGAAGCTTTTGTACGGTGATGATCCCTCTGGGCGGGAAACCGAAACTTGATTTTACCTCCTAAAAGAGATACGGCTTCATTACCGATTTTGAAGGTGTAAAGATTGACTGTGTGTACAAGTTCATCAGCGGTATCTGTAGATGTATGAAAGTAAGGGTAGGATCGTAGGAACGTAAAGAAGAATAAGTAGGTGAGGTGGAACCGCCCAAAAGGCGAAGTAAAGTTTATTAGTAGAGAGAGCTCCTGCCAGAGAGCAGGAGATGGCTGGTGCGGAGCATATTACTATGGGGGACTGTATAACATACTAAATACCACACTAACAGCTTTAAGAAGGACTGAGTAACTGGCTATCAGCTTTTAAGGTACACTGTACCATCGGTTAAAGAGGTTACTTCAACAAGATGTAGCGCGTCAGACATCACTCTAAAGTACAGTACATGTACTGTATCAATTTCTTACAGAACACTGCATACGATGGCGCTGGCGGTCCTTTTATGAATGTAGCTAAATCTGTGATTTATCCACAAATTTCACGTTACGTGGTTGCGTTTAAATTTAATTTAATAAACGTAAAAAAGTGATATATTCGACTTCTGAGCATCGGAATTGCCAAAAAAAATTGCAATCCTCAAATGGGTCAGATATAATTTTCAGCTCAGAGATAAAGACGAGGGACCCCAGGTGGAGGTGGGATTTAGCTAGTTAAACCTCGGTCGAGTTGACCGTACAGGTCGGAATTGCCGTTTTAAATCGGCCAAAATGACTACCCTCCAGCTATATCGGATTTTGCCCTGGCGGCCGTCGCGTTATATCGGATGTCGCCCTCCTTGCCGACTCCGTGTCACTTCGGCGCTACTATACACCAGGACAATTGTCGGACCGGTGGGGCAAGCTCCAGGTCTTGTTTTGGCAGCTACGCATGAGCGGATCCGCGTCGCTCAGGTGCTGGTATACGAGAGATAGCGTCGTTCACGACGAGCAAGAGAAAACAATGACAAGCTCAGGCGAACAGGAGTGACGTATGCAGAAGAAACTTACTTAAGTAGGCTATACATAGACAAATACCACACCATTTTGCTCTGAGAACGCTACTTTACTTCGCTTCAGCACCGAGCCGTAGATGGGGTCGGATACGTTCTTGTAGTTGATGGTCCAGACGGCGCTGCCGACGATCTCCTCGACGTCGTCCGTTATCAGCGTGTTCTCCTCGCCCTTGGACGCGTCCTGCACCGACTGCTGAATCTTGCAGATCTCCGTGACCACGCCGTGGCCCAGGCCATTGACCACGACCGTGGCAGCGAAACTCATGTTGGTCTAGCCCAAATTGAAGTTCTCCGTGCCTTGCAGCAGCACGTCGACGTCCTTGTTGACCCACGTGGACTCGCCCTTTACCTGCAGAGGGTGGCCGTCGTCTTCACGGACAGCAGGCGCAGGTCTCCACAGACCTTGTCCTCCATGCGGACCTCCTCCATTTTGCCGGGAAGAAGCTCGCGCGCAGGCAGCGCTGTCGGGTATCGCGTGCGCGTTCTCGGACTGCAGGTCCTTGAACACCACCAGCGCGGGTCGGAGAGAAGCTCCTGGTGGCACAGTAGCGTTACATCGCAGCATACTTGTAGCGCAAGTCAGCACCTGAGTAGCTTACGTAAGAAGCCGATTATACCTTACCTAAGCAGGGTGGCTAGGGATCGGCCCTGCTGTGGGCGCACGACTTGTGCTGGGAGCTGGCGCAGTCGCAGCCGCGCGGCTGGTACAGGGGGTTCGTGATGAGGCCGGCGCTTCGAGGTGGCTGGCTGGCTGGGAAGCACGGACTCAGAGATCCGATTTAAAAAACTCGGGGGTGGGGTGGCGTCCGATATATTTAAACCTAACCGTATCAACGTCGGATTTATCATTTCCGACCACTACGATATCCGAGGTAAAACTGAAGGGCAAAATAACCGCAAGGCACAATAATTCATATTTTATTACATATACAGGGACACAAATTGAGCATTTTAAGAAATCGTACCCCCTCAACTACTATCAGGCTCTAGAGTTTGAGCAAGCTAAACATTGTTGGTCTTCCAGAATTTGGAAGACCTTCAATTGAGTAATACTTCAGATGCTCTCTGTTTTAGCTGTAGACTGCGCCTAATCGATAACGATGTTGCCCAACTCTCACCTCAGTAGAGCCGATTGTCCCTATGATTGGTAGAAACCCCAGCAATAATTGGTGTTGGTTTGTAGCTTGTGGTTGAGGGGGCAAATTCCGAAGTGAGATTAAATGTTATCGCCTCTCAAACTACTCTCTAGTCTTCCCCTCCTACTTTCCTTCTTGTTCTCCTTGTGCTCGTTGATGCCTCTCATCAGACAGATTACTCCCGGGTTCCGCTTGACTTGATCTCAGTATATATGGGTCTCCCTGACCAGCCATTGGTGTATCCAGAGCCCGGCTGCCACCGGCTCTCCCATCGCCGTCGGATCCTCCGAGTCATCGGCGGATGTGTCCACACGTTCTCCTCGTCCATGTGCATCTATTGGCGGCGCTCCCGAAGACTCATGAACAATTGGCGGCCGCACAATATATTGCTGGCGTCTAGCAGCAGCATCAGAAGCAAGAGCGCCACTGCCGCCAGGACCTGGAACAAGAACTTCATTGTTGTAGGTTGAGCTTGTTGCTGGAGGGGGAAACTAAGAACGAGCGGAAGGCATCCTCACAGTGCTTCCTCCCAGCACGACTAGCATGTATTATAATAATACCTGTAGAATCGTGGACTTGGCATTCACTCATTGAGGCTCTGATACATATGCTGGTATTACCGAGTTTTGTTCGCGGGATGCTGCAGCATCCAGCACTACGCTAGGATAAAAGATAGGATTGATCGATTGGAAGGGTACCACTCACAGTCACGTTCATTGATGCATCCGGAGAAGTCGCCACGGAAGTTATTATTGAAGAGGCCGATGATGTGCTCGCTTCTGCCAGTTGGTTGTGCTCTGTACTCGTTCTCGTTTTACGGCGTACTGTACACTGTACATGCGCACGTCTATTGCACTTTAGTAAGTAGATACGCTGCCGCAGATAGGCTCCGAAGCATCGTCCAAGTGTCGGCTGCGGTACATGTATCGTCCGAGAAACTAAAATTGTTCGCACTTGCTGCCGTGGAGATCAATTGCGCTTCAGGCACCACAAACTCTACCAACTTCTTATGAGGCTACTTACGATCGCGTTGTCAGTCCTTATGATCTGCCGTCGACCGCTCGCAATGAGCTGTTATTCACACGACTCGTGTTGCACGAGAAATGCACGACGCATATGTTTTAAATACTGGGCAAAACGTTGGAGTGGCGTATGTAACTCAGTGATAGCGTGAAACCCGAACACGGTGGGCTGTGGCTAGGCGGATAGAACACAATGGGTGTTCTGTACAGTGTTCTGTCATAGCCGGACAGAACATTATACAGAACAGTCTATTGGAACCAGCAGTAAAAGCACCAAGTGCCACGGATGAACATACTCGCCAACAACCCTCGCGCATCGTGCTCAAACGATAGCGTTGTTTGCTTCACCACGCCATGCACACTGATAAGGCTCGCGTTGATTATAAACATCGTGAACTCAAAGCTAACAGTGCTGTAAGTTTCATGCGCTTGGGCAACCGCCACCGAAAAAGGAATTTAAGTTGCTAGCGACCGGATACAATCGCGCAGAAGTGCTAAAGACTGAATCCAGTATAAAGCCCCGTTGAAGCGTTTACATCAAAAGCGCATTGGGGGCTAACAAAGGTTTGTTTACTTTTACACAATAGATCACCGCAGCTTTCATGCCATACTTGCTGCGCAGCTTTTGTGCCATCATGGTTATACTCAACAATTAATACGTACGAACACCTCGGATAGCTGTTGTGGCATACGTCAACCTTCACCCGACGCACAGCAGATTTCCTTTGCTAAAGGCAGCAAGTCGATGTAGACTTCGTCGAGTAGGGCTCGACTCGGACAGTAACTCTTCTGCCTACGTCGAAGAACCCATACTTGGAACCTCCCCGCCTTGGTCTTCAACTCACTGAGCTCGAGCTTGATGCACAGGTTCCGCCATGAACTCGCATGAAATGCCCCTCGTGGAAGAAGGCTTCCGGGGCCGACATGCTCACTCGCGGGCGACCTGGTCGCTGATGATATTCGAGCTCCGGGCACTTGGCCACCTCATTCGGCGGCGGTTTGTGCCTCCGCGGCCTGATCATCCGGTGTATGCCCGAGGGCGTGATCGTATGAAGCCAAGCCAGATCCATACCACCGCCCGGGACCTACCGTCCGAGTTCGATGTCAACATCGCTCGTTCCTGCGTTGTCAACGGAATCGCCAGATGCGTTCCAGGCGATGTCTTCACCACGCTCCGAAGGCGGTTCGAGATCCCGTTTCCCATGGATTCCGCATTTGGCCACTCCGCCGCTATCAATTCCTCTCGTGGATGCTGGTATTCTGGATGCACTCATTGCGGTTCCCCACTTGCGTTTCGAGGTCAGACCTCCTAAGAACCTCGACCCAACAAAGCGCTCGGCCCCTGGCTGTACGAAGTCCATTTGGCCACGTATCACCAGCCTCAGCTTCTCTGTGCCATTGCAACCAACGGCATCATCCCTCCCTGGTCCAACCCCGGCGCACGGCGTGGGGTGCGTCCCCTACCAGACAACTATGGGGGGCGCCGAGTCCGGCGCGTCGGTGGTCGTTGACAAGCTTCTCGCCGATTACTACAAGGGCCGCTGTTTGGTTGCGACCCTGGCTACGCTTCAACGGGACCCTGGGTTTCACTCAAGTTCGTTCGCTCTGGTGGCCAAGAAGGACATTCCTCTCCACATCGATGGGCGCATTATCCATTACTTGTCGGCGCCGCCTGGCGGTTCGGTCAATGACCAGACCAGGGCTTCATATCATCGACTATTTTTACGATATGCATGATACAGATACAAAGTTTAAAATGAGCGGGGCTGGATCAACTGATCTTGATAGACGTACACTGTCGTATCAATATCATATCATATCGTACCAAAAAACAAATATTCTATCGATGAAGGTGGTTGTGGTAAAATTTAAAATTAATGCGATTTGATTGGTCAAAATACCTATGTTGGTACATAATATGTACTAATCGTGCGACACCACCCTTTTCGTGAGCCCTAGCTTTGAAAACGAAAGAGAACGAAAGAGTGCAGCTCCATCGAATTGGGCGCAGTTGGGCATCTGCAGTTATTCGCGAGAGAAAGCGAGGGCAGCATGACAGCAAGGAAACTGTGCTAGTCATTGACTTTTTGTAGAGACTGGGATCGCCCCAGCAAAGCAGGCATGTTTCTGAAAACGAAGCCTGCGAGTGAGTAGGCATTTTGGTGTAGACCTCATGCTGAAGGCAACCTACGTGCAGAACTTCTATCACGGAAGTTAACAGTTCTGAGCAAGCTACTATGGTATCGGATATAATATTACCGGATACCAATCAGTTTGTGTGGGCGGATCAATGATCCTGATCCCAAGCTTCTAGTGGTATCACATGATATTGATACAAGTAATACATGCATATAGTATCATCGTATCAATGGGTATCACCTGTTGCTATTAAGCCCTGGACCAGAATAATTCGGATGCTTCTCCTGACGCTACGTGGGATCCATTTGATTCTATCGCCCAACGCGTTCGCGACCTTCGTCGCAGGTACCCTGTGTACGCTATCTACGCCATGGTCGCGGATATCGTGGACGCGTTCCACCATGTCCCCGTTCATGCTGACCACGCGTCCGCTTTTGGGGGAAGAATGCCGCGTTCCGATCATGGCATAGTATCCGGAATGGCCGTCTTCGGGTGGACGTCGTCCCCTGGGTTCTTCGCGGTGTTCCGAAAAGCCGTCCGACACTACCATCGCACTGGCGCATCGAGTGTTCACAGCTATTTGGAACCATTTTGGATATTCCAGTGGGTGGACGACATCGTCCTCATCGAAGTTGACATCGGCGACCGCCTTCAGAAGGCAGAACAGCGTCTCGGAGACGGCGTCAAACTCGTGTTCGGATCAGCAGGCTGGCACGAAGGAAAGTTTACGACCTGGTCGCGCCGCTTCCACGCAGTGGGATATCCCCAATGAATGCATCACGGTTCCTCAAAGGAAGATCAAGAAAATGCGGGGAGTCCTGGACGACGTCGCCAGGCAGAAGTTCGTGACAATGAAGCGACTGGACAGTCTGGTCGGAGTCCGGACGGCACAGGGTGTGGTCGTTCGTCACTACCGCTCAGAGCATCCGATGCTGTGCCCAGTGGAAGCGGCGCAAGAGTGTCTCCTGATACGAGAGAGATGGATCACAGCAGGAGTGGTCCTGGGCCCATACCTCACATCTACCTCACGGCGAGGAACGATCAAGAAGGCTGTCGTAGCAAAGCTCATCAAGGAAGCGGCAAAAAGCATGGGACTATCACCCAAGGACTACTCATGTCACTCACTACGCATAGGCGGTGCATGCGCACTTCTGGCGGCAGGTAACAGTGACCTGGTCATACGACTAATGGGAAGGTGGTCGAGCTGGTGCTTCACAGTGTACACCCGCCTGCAGCCTGGCATGCTCCGAGATGCGGCAAGAAGCATGATCACGGCCTCGACATAGGAGCACAACGAGACCAATCACGATGCGCTCGAGGGGGAACTCCAGCGAGTCTAACTCTCCAAGCTAATCAAGTCTACTTGCCCCATGAAGTGATGATCGAAGGAGGAAAGGACGTCTACAGCTACGGCAAGGACGACTACGGCTATGGCTACTACCCCGACTACTCGATCGGCGGCGGCTACGGATACGGCTACGGATACTACCCGGACTACTACTCGTCCTACGGCGGTGACTACAGCTTCGGCTACGCTGGCTACGGATTCCCCGGCAACTACGGCTACGCTGGCTACGGCTACTGTACTCGTCAAACATGTTAGTGATTTTCACAACACTGTTACTTACAGTTAGTGCTGTTTGCAAACGCGTGTGTATATTTGCTGTTCTATCACTAGCAGATCAAATGAGGGGCCATCCTTACTTTTGAGTACATTTCGCGGATTTTCAAGTAATGAGTAATGTGCTCGGACTTCCGAGTACGTAAACTTCATTTAACCCCTTCAACCCGAAGGATTTTGAGGGTGAGCTAAGCTGTATATACAGCATAATTTTATCTAGAAGTTTGTATACTCGAGGGTTGCGTCGGGAAGGCGGAGAAAAAGGCGGTGACGCAGACACTACGTAAAGCTATTCCTACGCTGTATTGGATGTACTACCGTCGGTATATACAGCGCCATTAAGCTGTATAAGCATGTACTCGCACTACTCTTGCACAACGATAGCACGATTCCTCCCGCATGTTCAGTACAGAACACGAGGCTCAAACTCTAAAAGCTGCATCTATGCTGATATTTGTTTTTGAAAATATGAGCGCAGACGATGCGAGAGGGGTCAATACTGAAATCAAGTAGCTCCAATTGATGTACGGATCCAATCAAATGAAGCGTACCTCTAACCTGCATACAAAACTCAAATGAAACAAATCAATACAGTAAGTTTCAACAAGCAATCATTGAACACCAGCTTACCCCCCCCTCGGCTACACGCCGCTACAAATGAGCAATAAAAAACTACTTCTGGACGTGCGCAGCCTCACACGCCCCCCCCCCTCGCTCACGCTTCCACTCTCTCACTCACTCGAGTCGCCCGACGAAGCACGGCGGCGCTTCTTGGCTGGGGACTTGCGCAGCCGGGTCTTGTTCTGCAGGTGGTCAGATATGGCGGTGCCGTTCTTGTATGTGGTGTGCCAGATCTCCCAGCAGCTCATCAGGACACCGTCGATGGTCTTCTTCGGCTTCATGTACAGATACACTTGCTGAGAGTCGACGCAAGCCTCGCAGTAATACGTCGTGGTCCCGCCTCGCTTCCCATCCGTACGCATCAAAGAACAGATCTTGCAGTTTCGCTGCACTCGCTTCGACTGCCCCGAGTGCGTTCTCCATTCGTCAATCTGCGTCGGTAAGTGCTGGGTACATGAAGTACGTTCCGCTCTGCTCGCAGAAGCTGCAGGTGCCGCAGTAGACGCTGGAGAAGCAGTCGAGTCTAGCCATCATGTATATACAGGTTAGCGTGGGTAATGAAAAACATAATATACAGCTCAGGAAAAAAGAAGACTTACCCGCTCCGAACTTGTTGTCTTCGTACATGTCCTCGCTCGTCAAGTGAATCAGCTCCAGGTGCAGCTTGCGAATATACTGCACGTGCGTCAGTGGTCGTGTGCCCTTGCTCGCATGGTACGCGCGGTGAATAATGTATCCGTTGACGATTGCGAGGTCTACCAGCCCTAGAAATAGAGACTTGTAGTATTTCCGGAAGGTAACCGCACGTTGCAGGGAGTAGCGCTGGAGGCGGAGTTGATCATGGACATCAACTCCGCCCATGTACTTGTGGTAGTCCTTCACTGCCTTCGGGCACGGCAGTTCGTGCTGCTCCCCCGTCTTCTCGCGGCGCACTACGCGATCCATAGAGAGATCACTCCCCGTGCACAAGAAGAAGACGGGCTTGCTGTCCCACCAGGTGATTGCCGCCATCTCCTTGACCTTCGTCGATTGCACGTATTTGTACGTGCCACGCATAATCTCCTTCGGCCGAGTTTTCTTCTTCTCTTTGATACTTGCTGCGAACCCGATGCGGTTCGTCATGATCGTTCCTATCGTGTAGAAGCCCATCAGTAGGAGCTGGATAGCGAGGACCACACTTGTGTAGAATCGATCTGTCCCGACGAGCCGGGAGCCGTTGTCTTGGCCGTTCGGGAAAGCAGCTTTCAGGTTGCGTACAACTGCGGCAGGTCCCGACTTCTTGTCAATCGACTTGGAGTCGGAAATGTGTTGCTTCTTTCCCACGTAGACTTCAAACCTGTGTTATACAGCATAGAATACAGCATAGCATGTTCATAAGATGTATTATACAACCTAGCTAACTTAGTCAAACCAAAAGAAGCACGTCCATACCTGATGCAGTACGCGGAATGAGCGTAGCAAAGCATGAAAAGCTTTGTGCCCCACTTACATGGCTTGTCCTTCATGTAGACGGGGGTAGTGTTGAACGACGAGCGTGATGGAAGCATTGCTTCATCGAACGCTAAGTGGGCGGGGGAGATGTAGCCTCGTCGGAATGTTCGCTGCAGCACGTGAACTGCTTTGCGGGTTTTCCACGCTCTTTCAGTCTTCGCTCGTGGATCGAGATTACTGGAGAAGTGCAAGTTGCGCGAAATCTCCATGAATCTTTCGTCGGGTTTCATGTAGTTGGTAAAGACTCCTCGGGCAGTACCACCTTCATCAGCCTGCTTCCAGTGGTTAGAGATCTTCTCACGGTTTGGCTGGATGGCCCGCGCCAACAGTAGGCCGATGAAGACGCACAATTTGTGTGGCATCACTGGCTTGATGGCCATCAAACTCATGTGCACATCACTCCTCGTCCGAATTGGCTTTTTTTCGTCAGGTCTGCGGCGTAGCATCTTTTCGCGTCGCTCAATGTACGCCTCCACTCGCGATTCAAGCTGTCCATGCTTGTAGTTGTTACAGCAAACGGCAATATGCTGCGATAGAGCCACGGGCATGAAGAAGAAGAAAAGAGCAAGTGGTGAATCTCCGCACTTCATTGCTTCTGGCGTGGGGCCAAACGGTTCATTCCTCAAGTCTGGGTAGCTATTCTCGTCACCAACAGGCTCGTACGGGGGTTGGAGGTGTTCGTACACGTCCGGGTTGATCGGCTCGGACCATCCTGTTGTGGCGTGTGCTCGTAGATTCTCCAGGTCCTTGCCCACAACGTCACCAGCCAGCACCTTCTCAGCTCCACCCAGCGACTCGAGAAACGTCTCTGCAAAATGGCGTTCGGAAATAGCCGCAAGGGAGTTGGGGTCTTCATCTTCAACTTCGTCTTCCTCCGGTGGGTCGTCGCAGCCGTGTTCTTCAACATCCGATTCATCTTCATCGACGAGATCGTCTTCCATAGGCTCATCACCGGAAACAAGGCCGCCGAAGTCGTCTGGGTCGTCGTCGTCTTCGACCTGGTTCAGGTCATCTTCTGAATCACTTGACATTACACTGCAGACTGTAGCACAGGTAATACAGCACATCATATATAGTGTAAGTATAGGCAATACAATACAGCACACCAAATACAGCATAAGCTTACCCTCAGACTGATCGGCTGCTGCATCGTAATCGCTGTCTGCGGTGTTGTCCACGGCGCCATTTTCCTCGTCCGATGAGCCAAACAGAGAAGTGCCGGGAGGTGAAGCATCCGCGGAGCGTCTTGGTCGAAGTACTCTGGACGTCGACGGCACCAAGTGATACTCAGCTTCTTCTGCGTCGTCATCGTCGCTATCCAAGCTAGCACGACCTGTTGACACATGAAATTGATGATGAGCACATGAAATGGATAATGAGCACAAACGTTGATACCAGATACAATACACAAACTTACCCCGCGGACGTTTCGCAGGTGCACTTCGCTGTCGTGGGGCTGGAGTTCCTTGGCTTGCTGCTGCCGACGCAAGAGTCGTCAAAGCAGGGCTTGCCGCATCGCTTGCAGCATCCGGAGGCGGAGTCGCCGTTTCGCCCGAAGCGTCCGGAAGCGAAGTCGCCGCTTGACCTGCTGTTTCGCGGGGAGGTGACGCCTGTGGGACTGGCACACGTGCACCATCAACCTGGCAGGAGCTGCAGCATCACCAGCGTTAACCCATTAGTTAGATAACCGTCCACTATGATAACACAATCTTGTCAGCATACCTTTTGCAACGCATGCTGCACTCAGCGCGTGAGCGCCTTCCTTCGAATGGACTGTTAGTAGAATCAAACAGTGTGTTAGACTGATACGCCAGACAATAGTCCAAATAGATTACATACCACGGGCGTAGTGGGCGAGAACGCGGTCCTCGCCCAAGAAGTAGTCCTTGCCCTCCGTGCCAGCCGCGCTCCCGCCTGGTGGGATGAATTTCCACCGTGTCTCGATCGAGCTACCGGGGGGCAGTTTGTATGTCCGCCCACTCGCTTTTAGCTCCCTCCAGATGGCCTTCCGCGGGCCGTGCGTCGCTTCTCGCGGGCTCCTGCCATTTGAGCTCTTGGCCGCTGATTTCGAAAGTGAGACTCAAAAAGAGGGAGGCGGCTGCTGGCCACTCAGCACGAAGCCTGCAAGAATTAATTGGTGGTGTATCATTTGTGTATAGTACCCTGGTAATTAATATTCCAAAAACTTGAACATAGACGATGGTACCTTCCCGCATGCATCTATGCGCACAGTGGACAGAAACACTGATTTCACTTGACTTAGTCTTTGTATAGCCAGTGATAGAGGCAGGCTCACAAAGAGTTCCGAGCATACAAATTCCAAGTATAACAATTTCTTATGCTGTATCTATACAGCTTAGATTGAAATTTATCCTATCTGGATGATTTGCTAACACATCTTATACAGCGCACCGGGTTGAAGGGGTTAAACTCGTGCGCTGCGTCAACGTAAAACCATTGACTAAACTCTAAAGACGTTGCTTGTTGGGATGCCATTCACGAACACAAATAATACCCTTTAGGGCAATTTATATTTTGTTTTCTGCTAGATGACGCTTGAATTATCTTAGATTACTCACGTCGGCATAAGTGGATCGATGCGTTACTTCCCCAGATGCATTCACATTGTATCCTCCTCCGGTCTGGTCCAGGGTGGTGGTGCCAGTCTCCTAAGTCACATTAAGTGGAATTACTCAGAAGTCAGTGAGCGTACTCACAGTTAAGTAGCACCCGTTGTCGAGTCTGCAAATCCATGTACGCACCACGGCGTAGCAAGAGTAATCTAGTGCTGCTTAGTTGAAGAGATCATGGTCGATGTAAAGAAGAAGATCTCCGCGTGCAAGTCAGCTTCCAACAAGTGAAAAGAGCTTCAATTATTTTTAGTTCAAGATAAATAGTTACGAGAGCTATGCGTAGGCTGGGATAGCTAAAGAACTTAGTGTGGGTATCTCCACTGCGGCCGTGCCGTCACTATCGCTATCCTCAAAGCAACAATTAAAACGAGAAACAAAGTCGCGCGTTGCACGAAGAAGCTCTGAAATCTACTACTTCCATGTTACCTACAGTATCGGTGGTATACGCATAGCTCTCGTAACTATTTATCTTGAACTAAAAATAATTGAAGCTCTTTTCACTTGTTGGAAGCTGACTTGCACGCGGAGATCTTCTTCTTTACA